AGAAGCGATTTGACAGTGGTTTAGTGCACATCTATCCACATTTTCAGCATAAATACTAAATGAGTATATTAGAAAGATTTTCATGTTCTTTAAAGTGTATGGAAGGCTATTCTATCCATCTATATTCCAAACTTTTCTCGAAATGAATATATATATATATATATAATATAGAAAAAAACAATTTCATCTTCTTGAACTAGTGTTAACTAAAGGCCTTTGCAAAAGTGAGTTCCAGCTCTGACGAATTTCGTCACATGACGAACGAAAGCTCATCTCGTCTTCGTCTCTTGAGGTTGATCTTATGCTGATGCGACGTGTCGGCGGGTCCGTCGTTGATTAGTGTAGCACAAAGAGGCCTGTAAAGGCAGATGGGTCGAATGGTCAGAAGTGGCGGAGCACTGGGCGAAGATTAGACATGAGCTAGAATGATTTCGGAGGCAGAGGCCCACTGATTATGGTATGTGTGCTACGAAAAGTTATTAAAATTAATAAATTAGGGAATAGTTTGGATGTGAGGAATACTGTTAGAAAGTTGAGTGAGAATTACTTATGCTTGATTGAAAGATTGAAAAAGAGAGAGAGGGCGTTGAACCGCCGTCCAAAAGAAGACGACTCAACTTGTTAGTTGAGTAATGCTTCTAACCAAATTCACACTCACTCAACAGGCACTCCAAGCTCATCAACCAAATCAGGCGTGCCAGGCTACGCAATCCTATTCATGCCATAAAAACTTACTAATCCAGACTGACGGGTTCAAATTGATGGTATCGTAACCTGACTTTCAGAGTGCGGACTTAGATCTCATCAACCTAACCATGTTTACTTACAGACTTGGATCATTGCGACTTAATGACCTGGGGCTGACGTCAAGCCTTTTTCTAATTACTCTGAGTTATGACCGGTTTTGTGCACAGACGTCAACATACAACGCACACAGACACACTCACCAATACTTAAATGAAGCAGACCTTTCTATATCAATTTTTATCTAAAATCCTGCTCGCAATGAGTATATATATGTATCAGTAATAGAACATGTATTCACCCTATTTAGTTTAATACGATGAAGGACTGATAGTATACTTTTCCCACAATGATATGAATAGAGCTGACGTTTCCAGTGAATTTCACACAGCTTTGCTTTGCCAAAAGTTGTTCTCATCCAGGCACCAGTGGACTGCAGTTTCGACCTCGCATCGGTCTTATCAACACCCCCAGCGGGAGTCGAACCGTGAACGTGCAGAATGTGAGCTTGACACGGTAACCACTCAGCCGAGTGGTTAACTTTTGGAAAGCAAGGTTATGTGAAATGCATTGTAGAAAATTTCGACTACCAGTCTTTCATCACCTTAAACGAAATAGCGTGAATACATTTCCTATTACTGATTTACTGGTAGTCTCGAAACTCCACTTGCATACGAAAACAAATCATATATAAAAAGCCGATCAGTCTTTACGACCTAGTTTTGATCAGAGTCTTTTGCAAGTATGAGTCCCAACTCTGACGATGCTTGCGACACGGCGAACGAAAGGTCAGCCTGTCTTCGCCCGAAACGTTGGAGGATTTCTCGTGGATTGCATCAACATGAACGTCGTATTTAGGCCCAACCGTTGCAGTACAACCTGAATCAGACGATGACTGTTAGTGAGAAATAAAGGTCTTCACAACACTAATGAAAGCCATTCTGCTTACGGAACCTGACTTTTCGACTGAACTTCAATCTCTGACATATCATCTCAGGCAAGATTAGAGTGGAAGTGAGTCCGTTGACCCATATGAATATCCTTAAAACGATGCCTCCATATTAAGTTTTGCATAATAACATAATAGCCATGACTAACACATCAAACAGAAACATGAAAGTAACCCCTTTAAACCAAGCAAGCATACCAAGAAGTGACTAATCACGCTAATATTGAGCTTATCTCTGCTTATGCCGACCCGGAACCCCCAAATAAACCGTCAACCGCCCTTTTGGCCAGTTGTTCAGCGGACTTGATGAGTATATAGAATACGAAAACCTGTAACCCAAGGCCTCATCAGCGAACTTAGGCCTCGTCACCCTGGCAACATTGATAAAGAGGACCCGATTGTACCAACTTAGATCACGCCATTGACAGGCCCGTAGAAAGTCCGATGACAGAGCATAAGTCTAATCCGAGATATAAAGACTTGATTGAAGTGACTTAGTAAAAATGATCATCAATCCATCCCAGTCGAGCACATGAGAGCAATCGTTTATCTCAGCACTTCTGCGTAGCATGCGATTAAGAAACGCATCAAGCCTCATAGGTTCTATGAACCTATTTTAGACAAAAATATTTACTATCTACCATACCTGCCAAGTCAAGGTCCAACATGCAGCTACGCAAGATACTCTTCTTGTGAGAAAATAGTCCGACAAGTACGACGAGGTATAATAATCACCAGCCAAGATATGACATTATCACCTTTATGCATTGTATATAAATATGTGGGCGAATTTCTAAATAAGTTTAAAACACATTTTCTATCCTCACAAGTGACATACCCAAGGGATACAATATCGTTTGCTGCGCTCCAGCGCCACGAACTGTAGCACATTTCGATTCGTTCGCTGGATAGGACTTCCATTCTTGGGGTCTCGCATCCACCGAGTCACTACAATCACGATAACATGATTCGGGCCCCAACGAGGAAGCAAGCCTTTCCCGAGAAGTCCGGTCCGGCCCATCGGGTTCAATGGGGCTCCAGTGTTCGGGTCCAGTCGATATCGGCCCAACAAGCTCTGACGCCGGATACAGGCTTTTGCGTCATACTGGTTGAAGGGAATGGTGCGCAGTGTGTCGCTAGGAGAGGAAGCATGTGAAAAGCTGGCCAGCGTCAGAAGATAAATTTCATAAAGAGGCATAGACGACGTATACACAATAGTAAACAATGATGTTCACGTACAAATGAGTGTGTGCGTGTGTATAATTGTTGGTAGTTGTGTGGTTTCACCAGAATTAGGTTCACCAAGCTACTCTTATAGTAAGCATTTTAGTTCAGACGGTTACGTTGCGTGTTGACGGATGGCGGGATGACATACATATTTACAACAACAAATTAAGGTATTGTGGTTGCTCATACCAAAGTGACCAGAAACATCCAAAAGGTAGGTATTAGAAAAGCTCGAAAGAATGCAGAATATATGGACAGGTGAAATTAGATAATGCGCGACAAAAGCAGTCAAACAAACAGATATAGAGATGAAAAAAGGCAAATACAGGCTAGCAGAAATATATTGTGCCAAAAATATGGCCATTCAGCTCATGATATAATCCAATAGATATATGGATGCGTCATAGGGGCAGAGATAAGTAAAAGGTCAGGACAAGGAACATAGGAAGAATAGATTAGTTATGCCATACTCATAAGAGGTAGTAAAAGGCCCTAAGTCGAAATGGAGACATTTACCAAGTAAATCAAAATCAAAATAAATTACGGAGCGAAGTGTCAAGATATATTATTAGATTATAAGAAAAGTGGGTAGCAATGGTAGTTTTAAATTTTTTGTTGGGGGGTTAAATTTAATTAATAAAAATAGTAAAAATTGGACTCATTTGTCACCCAGTGTATATGGAATAAAAATAAGCCATCGCCAAAGAGAAGTCAAAGCAAACATTTTTAAATAATAGAAAATGGAGACAACTTTAGGCATAGTTAAAGACAACGCCAAGAAATGAAAATATCCAAATGAAGAAAAATTGTAGGTATTAAAGACCAAAATAAGGTTTGGTAAAATTTTCCATACAAGATGCAAAGCACCAGGAAGATCGACAGATCACCAAGTTCACCAAATAATGTAAATACAAAAAGTTAATGAGTTCAAGTAAATGCATAAAATTTGAATTATGAACACCACACGATAAAATTCGAATAGGCTTTAAGAGAATTTTTCAACCCGAGTTTTAGTGTTCCATTGTACAGAATCATGAAATAATCAAGGATGACATAAATTTTGCAGCCGTTATGGAAAGAGAAGGGCCAGACAGGAAGAAAGGTATGGTTCAAAAAAGATATGGTTAAATAATGATAGCACTTTAGAGTAATTAAATGATAGTAAGTGAAGCACTGAGCAAGAAGAGAGTTCAAGTAAATAAGTAGCAAGTATAAGTAGTTTGAAATTGTAAAATGGAATAAATAAAAGGAAATTTGTGCCAATTTTGCAAAGATAAAGAGCGGAGTGATGCAGCAAAAGAGGTGACGACGAAGGTTTAGGGGAGATCCACCGGAAATGATGCATAATATTGGAAACAAAGAGTTTGAAGGAGGCGGGGCAGGTAGTGAGTAAAAAGGTGGAATGGGAAAGATAGAGGTCAGTAAAGGCGTGGCACAAATAATAACATGAACCATTCCAGGATAAGTGATTGTCATGCAAAAAGTGTGCTGAATCGCAGAGCATGCCAAAAAGCTTTAGCCTGAAATCGTGCCCCTTAACCCCTTGCAGGACTTATTTGTATGAGTCCTGCTGCTATTGCTGGACCCTACGTAAGCTCTATTCCAGCTCCGAATGAATCAAATCATGCTTCGCAATAAAATGATTATAAGATCAAGCTTCATTCTGCTGCATGCGGCTAATGGCGCCTAGGATGAGGTCAAAATCGTGACACCCTACACAATTTTGGATTTATTACATGAAAAATTCATTAATAAGATCAACTATTAGGCCAATTCTTCGGTCTTTGAACACCAGGAATATAGTGCTTAGGATGAAATAATGCTGTTAAAATCTAATAGCAAATTGGTAGGCCTTATATGGCCCCAATATTACTGCGGACTAACAAATTTCTAAATTGAGGAAATAGTATTATGTAAAACACACTACTGCAAGAAAGACAGAAAAGCCAATTTTCTGGAAAACTGTCTTTTCATGGGAACTAAGGTCATCTTATTTTGTTGTAGGTTGTTGGATCGAGGATGAAGGAGCAACCCACAATGAGTAACTGACTAAACACTGATGAATCTGATTTAGCTTTGCCTCACAAAAGGCTTTCTTATCTAGACCAGACTGTAACTTCTAGCTCGCCTGGAGTCCACTAACAATCCAACGGTCTACGAAACCTAGACGCATGCATCAAAGGTTGCCATGTTCTGACTCAACCAAATAGCCAGACTGTTAGTGTAGTTAATAAGTTAGATGCGACTTCTAAATAAAGCCAAGCCTATAGACAATAGCAAAACATGACTGCCGATAAACTCGACGATACAACCGTAAATAGAGCCCGTAGTAGTGAGTTGACCTCGTTGACGCAGTGGAATTATTGTATATGCTAAATCCAAATCACTTTAAAGTTATATATATATATATATATACATATAACTATAAATAAACAAATAAATATATATATATACAAAAACCGAGGTTTTGGGAATTTGTATTTTATTATAGTTGAATTATTGTATATGCTTAATCCAAATCACTTTAAAGTTGTCAGGGCGACTTAGTAGAACGCACCTAGTCCGAAGTCATCGGCCATAATAGTTGTCATGATTCCCAGCATCAGACAAGGGACTTGGTACATTTTCAAGCGTTTCGCCGGCATCGTAGTCGGCATCATCAGTGACTTTTGCCATTCTCCCCACCAAGCTACGAAATCGTCAAAGAGACAAGTGAAGTCAATCCCTCGACAAACGTTCTGACGAAAACGGTTGCACTATCGCTCTTCTTTCCGTACTTGAGAAATAGCGCCTGGAGTGGAATGCCCACTGGGATTGGAACCGAGTAAAATCGGTTAACAAGAAAGAGAAGGATTGGATCTACGAGACAATGAGGGGATCCGGATTGGAGGCCCGAGTTGGGGTGAATAGCAAGTGTGATGAGTCCACACTAGATTTGACACAAAAGGGCACACATTTTGACGAGTGGAATGTAAACAAGTGAGAAGTTGTGATAGGGCGGCAGTGGGA